TCTCAGATCCGTAAAATTCAGCTCCGCAGGTATCGAGTCCACAAAATTTGAATCCGCAAAGTCCGGCAACCCTTTACCTTATAATCGTTTTTAAAGTCTTGTTAATTCAAAGACATGCATAAACAGCTCCGCAAATGGAAACCCGCGGCTACATATTTTTGGCGGTACACCTCAATTGAGTCCCGACTCAATTGAGTCCCGGACCCTATAACTTATGAAGGGATGGACACTTTTTGCTACTCTTGGTACCATTGGATAGAGCATTAAATAGTAGTGATGGTCGGGATTCCCGGTCTCGGTTCCCGAGTCGGGAAATTTCCCGGGTTTTTTGAGCTCTCGGTCTCGGTCTCGGTGTTTTAGTCTCGGAAAACGAGACTAAATTTACACCCCTAATGACGGAAATTTTTTGAACTTTTTGAAGGAAAGGGGAAAGGAATATATTTATAATTTCTCCCATTTGCTTTTGATGGTTGAGTGGTTAAGTTGACTGACTTCACTCACTTAAATATTTCGAAAGTGTTGGGTTCGAATCCTAAGGTGGAAATGAGGTTGTGAAAATTTTTCTTTTCGGAAATAAACGTTTTTAAACTTTGATTTTGATTTTAAAATTTTTAATTTATTTTTTCTTAATTTTTTAAACTTGAAAAAAAACATTAAAAATTTTAATTTAATCATGAATTTTTCAAAATTTCCTCCTGCGGCGCAGCGTTTTCGCTACGGCGGTAAAAATGAAAGAAATCTGGCTATTGGCCTCCCAAATTTTTCAAAATTTTCGCCTGCGGCACAAAAAATGGAAGAAATCTGACTTAAGGACCTCCAAAATTCTCAAAATTTTCGCCGCGGCGCAGGAAATGGATGAATTAGGAGGATTTATGGCTTCAAAGCCTTGCAACGTTTGTTGTGTGGTTTGTTTTGTCACATGTCCCGTGGGACATGTGAGACTGAGAGAGGGTATCCCTCCTAATCTCTTGGTCTCGACTCTCGGTCTCGACCCGGGACTCGGTCTCGGGGTCGATTCCCGGTCTCGGTCTCGACTCTCGGGTTTTTTTAACTCCCGACCATCACTATTAAATAGGCTACAATATACCAAAAAATAAAAATTCCCGACCGACTGATAAAAAAGTTATGATCGATAAAGTGCCGAAAAATCCGATTTTTTTGAAAAAGTTAGTTTTTATATCATAACTTTTTTATCAATAGGTCAAAAATTCTGATTTTTTGATATGTTGTAGAGCTTTTGATTCTCTATCCAATGATACCAAGAACATTAAAAATTATCAACCCGTACTTGAGTTATAGGGCCTACTTGAAGAGTTCTCTTAAACTATAAATAAATTTAATTTAACTTAAAATCCTTCAAATAATTTTTTAAAACAATTTTTGCATTTGCCATTGATTATTAGTCATGAATTAATTTGATTTTTTTGAGAAGAAAAGTGGAGAAATTTGAAGAAATTCGAAAAAATTTGAAGAAATCGGAGAAATTTTGAAGAAAAAATGTGTGGGGGTGGATAAAGAAAATTGAAAAAAATTTTAAAGACAAAGGAAAGCGTGTGGGGTCGGGTTTCGGGTCGGGTTTCGGGTAACCCGTGACCAGAGGTAGGTCGGAACAGTCCGAGGTGTCGGAAATAGGAAGAGCCGGAAATCGGAACTGGCTCAAAAGTCGGAACTCGGAAATCAAAATTTTTTCGGAAATCGGAATTCCGACACACCTCTGCCCGTGACATCCCTGATACCCAGTACAATTTAGATAAATAGAAAACTTGGTAGATGTCAGCAAATGTCGATGGGAGTTTATGACCGGGTAGATAAGACCCGGTAGAGACTGTATCTCGAACAAAACCTCATCTATTTAATCGACATTTTTTGTGATTCTCGTAAGACTCTCCTAAAAACCCAATCTCCAATAAAAACTACCACAATAGGCAATACTCATTTAAATTAAAAAATTTTAATTTACAGATGCTCATTTACTTGATTCGAATACTAACTTTTATGGTATGTAAACATTAAATTACAATTTTCCAAAATTAAAAATAAACCCAAATAACTTCTTATACCCCTCTCCCCCTATGGGTTTTTTAATATTTTTGGGCCTATAATTCAATTCAGCTTTCCGAGCTCTTTTGGATGACACCATAATTGGCCTGTTTTGATCACGAAGAAAAAATAGCATATAATCAATAAGCCAGCAAATAAATTCGAGGATCCGGTCTGGAGACAGAAAACTTTTGCTGTTAAACTCAGAAATAAAGAGAGACCGCTCCCCCTCTCCCTAAGGATGGCAGTTCCTGGGAAATCTCCGGATATCCGGATCCGGAACAGGTATCCGAACCGAAAATTTCCGGATATCCGAGGTTTTTTCGGTTCCGGATGCCCAGAACCGCCAACATTACACCCCCTCCCCCCCCCCTCTATTCCTAATTATAAATATAACCCTTTAATATTGATTTTGAAAATTCAATTAATCTTATAATTTTTAACATTTCAGAAGGAACTGATCAATATCATTTAAACAATGGTCGTTTAGACAATAGTAATTATGAAAAGACTTTGGAGAGAAAAAAGAAAAAGAAAAATAAGAATAAATCGTCTTTGAAACAGGGAGAATCATCCAATCCACAATTCAATCACTCAAACAGTGGTGGATTCCAACGTTGGACACCTTCGGCTTATGAACAATCATCCCAACCAAGTTTTAATCATTCAAACACTGGAGGATTTCAAACTTGGGCACCACCGACTTATGAACAACCATCAACTTATGAATACCCCAATCAAAGTTTTAATCATTCACGCTCTGGGGGATTCCAAACTTGGGAAAGAAGTTAAATTTTCAATTCTGTAAAGACACTTTTTTGTGGTTTTTATTTAAAAGTGAGGGGATTTTTAAGGAATTTATATTTATTTTAAGACCTACATATTCTTTTAAATTAGAGATCGGACCAATACAATATATCATTCAAAATTTAAATTTTTTTACCGGAATCGGAACCTTTTTGTCGACCGGAAAAAGAAAGTTTTAATTATCGAAAAATATTGAGTTCGGTCTCTTTTTGTTTTAAATTAGCAAGGGGGTTTGCACAATTTTTTTTGTTTACAATGCCCTAAAATTTTTTTGATTTCCCAAAAAGTAAATTTAAAATCTTCCTCGTTTATTTTGTTTTGAGAGCTTGTAAATTTTTTTGTTGTGCTTTCCCCTGTTTTATTTTTTATTTTATTCACTACGCCTTTATTTATACGTGATTAGGGTTGGGGGTGTATATTTTACCCCCCAACCCCGACTCGGGGTTTGCGTCGAGGATCGGGGTTTGTTTGGGTAGAGTTTTCGGGGTTCAGGTCGGGGTTTTTACCAGGGTAACCCTTTCCAAATCACCAAAAGGGGGCATAGCTTCCCAAAAAGGGGGCAAATGCCTTCCAAATGAGGCAAAAGGACCACCCTGGTTTTTACTAAAAAAATCCGTCGGGGTCGGGTTGCTACCCTAATTTAAAGTTAAAAGAGAGTAAATCCCAACCGCCTTAAATATTTTAAAATTCCTCAGTTTATTTATTTTTTTGCTGATTTTTGTTATAAAATGCAAATTTAAATTCGAGATTGAAGCCTATGCAAAATTTATTTTTTGTGTTTTTGTTAACATTTTTTTTAATTTGTATAAATTTTTGGGTAAATTTGTTTTTTATTAAAAATCGAAAGTTATTTTTTTTTAATTTACACATTTTGGAATTAAGAAAGAATTAAAATTTCTTAAATAATAGCCATTTAAATTAACAGTTAATTTTCTATACTTATCAATTTAAGGTTTGTTTTTAGGTGGAACAAGAGCATCATTCATGGCAATTGACCAGAAAACCCCCTTTAGTATTTTCTCCAAACTCTGATTTCCTTTTCTAATGATTTTCTGTTCAAAATTTATTTAATGGCTAATTTTTATAAATTAAAAACTCTTCAAAACTTCTAAAGTTTACCTTGTTTTAAAGTTTTTATCTTCCTTTTTATTTAGTTTATTAATTCAAAAATATATATTTATTAGTGTTTCACCGGAACCGAAATTTTAACCAGAACCGGATCCAATTTGGTTCCGGATCCCGGAACCGGAACCAAAAAACGCCGAAACTTTTAGGAACCAGAACCGCAACTGCCGGTGATATTTATGTAGGGAACACCTTTAAATATATCTTCTTTTATTCCTCGAGTCTTTAGCCTTTTTTTGTTTGTTTATTCAAAAGCTATTTTGAAATTATTGAGCGTCTCATTAAAAAATCTATCTTTGAAATGCCTTGCTTAAGCAACGTATATTTTACATCGATTCCTTGCCAAATATTAGACTTGCTTTTCCTTTAATATTTTTATTTATATCTAAAAATATTTTTTGCAATAAAAAAAATTTTTTTTAAAGAAATGTTAAAAAATTTAATAAAAATTAATTTATTATTTTTAATTATTATAACAAAAAATTATGGAATGGACCCAGGAAAGGATACTATCGAGTATTTCTTGAGGGAAAGTGGGGCTTTGAACTCGCCAAATCAACAGGTATTTTTATAACATTGGGGTATTTAATCCTGTTATGCCCTCTAAGTCGAGTTCTAACCTAGGACTTACAAAAATACATAGCAACATATTACAAGACTAAATACAAGAATACCTAAAGTCACAATAGGTGGGAATATTGAGGGACATGAGGCAACGTTCGGTCTTATCAAGACTGATCCTTAATAACTGATTATACACTAGACCCCCAAACTATTATACCTATTTATGCTGTGGAAAAGTTCATTGGATGGTGGATGGACCACCATGGATGAGCCCAGACCGGATCACAACTTACTTTTCCATCATCCAACCCATTGATGGGCTATTTTTATTCCTTTATATTTTTTCTGCAAATTCATTCCGGTCTAACTTAGGACGGTCTAACCTAGGAATTTCAGCACTAACAAATCCCAAAATAGTAAAAAAATAATTAATTAATCCCCTCACATTTTTAGCAAATACAAAACAATCTTAATGCCGGAATATTCAATTCTTCAAACACCCCAATTCAAGCAAATCCTCCTCAACATCTGTACTACAATCAACACCCTTCTCATCAAAATATTCTCCACCCTCCTCAATTTACTAATTCAAATTTTCATCAACACCCAAATATGTTTTCTACACATCATTACCCTTACCCCCCTCATTACCATCCTTTATATTACCCAAACAACCAACCATTCTTTCCAACCTATCCAAACAATATTATTAATTTTGGTGATTCTTCGCATTCTGACACAATGCTAAATTTTCGAGAAAACTTTCCAATAAATGAGGGTTTTCAACATTTTTACCATCCAAATTTGCCTACACCCCAACAAGCAACACCGTCATCTTTTAATATTGAGACTAGTATGTTGAATTATAGAATACTTATAATCTAATCTAATAATAATTCCCGTCTTTTTAAGGATCTCTCGAAGCCTCAAGAGGTATGATCGCCTCGACATCTGACAATTTGGCACCGTCACACAATTATTTGAACCAAGAAAAAAATAAAACCAAAAAAAGAAACCCAGTAAAAACCAACGAAGAAAAGATACCCAAAGAGATTTTTAAGCATTCAAACGAAGGGGGATTTCAGCCTTGGAGACTACCGAATGAACAACCATCAAATCCAGACATTCAGCATTCACCGGCTCATGAACAACCGTCCAGTCCACACTTTCAATATCCGAACATTAAGGGAATTGATTTGAACGTTAAACTGGATTCCCCATATGAAGAATCAAACGATCCACAGTTACAGCATTCCCCAGAAGATTCAACTCATTCCACCGGTCTTGATTCACAAAATTTGACTCATGGACAACAATCCCGTCCAAACGTTCAACATGCAAACTCTGGAAGATTCGAGACTTGGACACAAGCGGATTCAATTCCTGGGCAATCATCCTCTACTCCCTTTAAGCATTCAAACTTTGGTGCATTCCAAACCTGGACAAAAACAAACTTGCCGCATGAAGAATCATCCAATCCACCAAACATTGAAGAATCCCAGCCTTCAACTCAACCGAAAAAACTTCAAGGATTTCGACCTTATAATCAAAGAGGTTAACTGAAACAAGCTGTGGATACCTATCTAACTACTGTATTTCCTCTAAAATAAGTCTCGAGTCTTTTTTTCGATCGCCCACTTTAGTTGGCTTAGATAAAAGGGGGGAGGGGGCTATTTTTTCGATGCCTAAATTTTTTGGAAACTAGAATTTATTACAAAGAATAACAATTTTCTTAATTTAGAATTTCAGACCTCTTTTGGCCCACTCTCTCTTTTTTTCCACACATCCCCTCTTTTGCTCTACACTTCCCTAAACAATTAGTATTAGAATTGTCCAGACAAACTTGTCTCTCCTAATCCCTCTATATCCTTCCATTGGGTTTCAACTGAGGATTTGAACTACCCTAGTATTTAGGCTTTATTCCGATTAAATTATTCCTTTAAAGGACAATAATTCTCTTTTCTGTTATTAAATAGGTATAGTATATCAGGGCTGGGCGAAATCTAAAAATAAAAAGCGAAATGCGAAACTTTTCGTGCCAAAAAATGCGAGAATGCAAAAGATGCGAAACGCGAAAGTGCGAAATAAGCCCAGCCCTGGTATATATGTAGATCCCCAAATCAGGTCCTTATATAAACAAAGGTTTTTTGCACAATTTTTTTTGTTTACAATGCTCTAAAAAATTTTTTTCTTAATTTGCTTTTAAAGAAATTCAAAAATTTTTTGTATTGAGAGCTTGTAAAATTTTTTTGTTGTGCATTACCTTCTACTTTAATTCACCTCACCCTCATTTATTTAAAGTTATAGACTTTTTTTACTAGGGTAAGACACAATCGGTTATTAACTGGTACCCTCTAGTTTTCGGGTAATCCAAATTTTAAAACCACAGTTTTCAGTTTTGGTCAAATATTATTTTTATTATGGGGAATCTTTTGAAGAAATTACTCATTTTCATAAATTTCCGGCGTTTGGTTTTTAAAATTTCAGATAAACGGGTAATTTTTGGCAAAAAATTCAAAAATTTCGGTTTTAAAACCGGTCGTGTCTTACCCTATTTTCTACCATATCACGTCTTTTACATTTTATTTTCTTTTGATTTTCTTAAATTTTTTATAAATTTTCGGGTAAATTTGTTTATATTAAAAATTAAACTTGATTAAATATTTAGGATTTTTCAAAATTCAAAGAAAAAAATTTCGGGTGTTTGGAAACTCGTAATAAAATTGTACTCGTACCTGTGTGTACGAGTATGAGGAAAAAAGAAGGCATGTATTATCTCGCTTCTTATCCCCCACTTTCCTTATACTTAACCACTCCCAACGATCAGAACTTTGACTGACTATAACTTGGCCCAAAGTCGTCTTACAAGAAAACGGAATCACTTTGGAATAAAAAGTCGGGGGTCCTCTATCGAATGATACCAAAAAATTTATCAAATTCATGGTGACTGTAAACGATGTTCCCTTGCATGTACAAACAGAATTTAAATTTTCAAATATTGCAAGCTCAACACCCCTTCTAAACTTTCAAATAATTACTACTAAAATATAAATAAATTTTTATTTTTTCCAAAATAACAATTTTTTAAATTAATTTTTTTTTAATTTTTAAACAAATCATTTTTGTCAATTCCATTCTTTTCCAGATAATTATCCAACTTTTGTTCAAAATTAAATTCATAGTTAACCCCAAGATTTTTAATTTTCAACATTTTCTCGCGTAATTGTTCGGTAAAACGTTTCTGAATTTAAAAAAATTTTTAAGGGGAATGAATAATTAATTAAAACACCCTCTTTTCTCAACCTCGTTACCCTTCCAAATTTATTAAAATCAAAAATAAAAATTACCAAACGAACGCGTTCTTGTTTCTCATTTTTTGGCTCTAAACGTTTCAATGTTTCCTTCAAACCTTTAAAAAATAAAATTTTAAAAATTTTTGGAAAATAAATTTTTTAGTGAATGACCAGATCAAAATTGTTTTAGTGGTTATTCAAAAAATTGTTTTTATTGGTAATCATTTTTATTGAGATCTCTTTTTAGGGGTTTTCTACTAAATTATAAAATATCAACAAATATTACCTCCCTATCCTCCTCTGTAGTTACCCCCTCCCCCCACCCAAAGGGTCCACTTGTCCCCCTTTGGTTTTTGCCGACAGACCCCTCCACCTCTAAAAAGTCCTACTAACAAATGGGACCTTTTTGGGGTGGAGGATAACTACTCTCCTCTTTTTCTCCCTTTACTCAATCCTTTCCCCCCTTCAATCCCTACCCTAACTAATAATTTATATCAAAAATGGAATATTTTGTAAACAAAAAAATTCTTTAATTTTTTCCTTACGATTCTCTCCAGGTTCAATAATGTTTCCAAATCTCTTTCCTCCCCTTATACATTTAGGTATTTTATCTTGATCAACAACAGAACATCTCAACTTCTTTTCTGCCAACAAATAATTATTCATTGATTTTGCAGCTATTTCTGCTACTTTTTCATTTTTGAATTCAACATAGGCAAAGCCTGTATGATGACCCTAGAAAAAAATTTTTTTTTTAATTTTTTATTTTTTCTCACTTTTTTGCTCCGAATAACACGAACACGTTTGACATCACCAAATTGACTAAAAATAAATATTAAACTTGTTATAAATGTTGCAAAGCTTTGTTTTAAACAAAAACAAACAAGATTCAAACTTTTACCAACATTAAAACAAACTTGAAAACAACATGTTCAGAAAAAAGTTTATTTTAAAGTTTGTTTAATTTATTACTGTTTAATGCAAGCTTTATTACACTAAAAATGTTTTCAAGTTTGTTTTTGTTTTAAAGTTGCTCTGTTACTCAAAACATATTTTCAAGTTTATATTAAAAGTTGAACATGTTTTATTTAAAGTTGGTTTATTAAAAATAATAAACTTAAAATAAAACATGTTCAGACAAGTTTGTTTCACATGTTTATTTCATTCAACAAAAACAACTTGTTTTTAAAATTCCCTCTACCTAAAATATCCATTCATTTCCTTCTCAAAAAATCCATAAGGAACATTAGACAAACGAATAACGTGTTGAATTTTAGATTCTTCATTAAATTGATGTTGCTTCTCTTCTTTATTTTTTAATTGTTTTTTGACTTTTTGTTTTGTTTCTTCATTCTCTATTTTTAATTTTTTGTTGTCAATTTTTTCATTTTCAATATCACTATTTAATTCACCATTTAATTCATCTTTCACGCGTTGTCTTTTCCTTGTTTTAATCATTTTTAGTTGCTAAAACTTTTTGTTTAAATTAAACTTAAAAACAAAAACATATTTAATTAATGCACAACATTCAACCATAACACAAACATTTGTTTCTTCAAAAACTTTAAAACAAACTTGAAAACAACATGTTCAGAAAAAAGTTTATTTTAAAGTTTGTTTGTTTAAAGGATGTTTTTGTCTTAATAAAAACATTATTATTCTCAGGTTTATTTAAAGTTGTGATGTTTTTCTTTGTTTAATTTAATCCTTCTCTTTGTGTTTCCAAAAACATTACTACTTACAAGTTTTAATTAAAGTTGTTTTAGAATGTTTTAATTAAAGATGGTTTTCAACTTTCTAAAAATTATTTTCAGGTTTGTTTTAATGTTGAAAAAATTAAATGTTGTGCATTAATTTTAAAAATTAATTAAAAATAATATATTGAGTACAACATTAAAATATTAAAAAATAATTTTTAAATATTTAAAATATATTTTTATAATCTTTAAAAAATATCTATGCAAGAACGGCATAAAATATATAAGTGAAATTCATTTAAAAAGAGAATTAGATTTTTAGGGGAAAAGATTAATTAAAATAAGGCAAAAAATATATGTAATTGATATGCTGCCATTTTTTCCTAAAAATAAGGAGCTGAAGCAAAAAAGATAAGGCTAAATACATTAAATCTGAATGCAACAACAAATAAGGGAAATTAAAATTATATAGATGGGTCGAATCTAATTTTAATAATAATTCAAGCGAGGAAGAGGTCATGACATATTTTTAAGTTAACTTTTTATTTTGCAACGAGCAAAAAAAATTAAAATACTCATAATGCAATCAAAATTCAGTTTTTGTTTTTAAAAGCAAACATAACCTCTTGCCGCTACAGAAAATTTCAATTTTGAATTTTAGATTTACGCCTAAATAATTGTTTAAATCTATTTCGTTTGGTTTTGGTGGGTAAAGAAGAATCAACACTAAGTAATGAAGTACTTGCACTTTGTCTTGATAAAGGTCGTGTAAATGATGATGAATTTGTTGTTGGCGGTGGTGGTTGTCTTAAAAAGTATTTTTAGAATTTTTAAAAATAATTATAATAAAATTAGAAATGGACAAAATATAAAAAATGTCTAATAGAGTTCATTTTAGCCCCAATTCATTAATTTAAGTTTGGCTTTTTACAAATACAGGGTACTCGCAAATACCCCCCATATAGTTCAATTAAGGTAAAATATTTTCAACACTATCGCTGTGTCTAAAATTTGCGCCTTTACCGTATTTCCTCAGTTATCCCCTCCAGCGAAATTAATAAAATAATCACCCAGGGTAATTATTCAAGTAAACACACTAGTATTTTGTAAGTGTGTATAAATATCAATAGTTAGCTATAAATCAATGTGGAGATAATCAACGAGTACCAGAAAACCTCAAAAACCTACTTGTATCCAAAATTAAAATGAGGGTCATTTTCATGGTGTTGGACATCTCCCCCATTAGTAATTGTTGTTGGAGGGTATTCATCTAAACAAGAAGTGTTATTATGTAATTGTGGTTGTTGTTGTTGTAATTGGGGTTGGCGCATCCTTTCAAGTTGTTTAATTCCCATAATTGGATTTGTTTCGAGAGATTGGACAACTCCTTAAAATAAAATTTAAAATTTACAAATTTTGGGATTGGGAAGAAAATAAAATGAAGATTATGATGAAACTTAAAAGGAAAAATAATTTTTTTAATTGTCTCGATAAAAAGTAATGAACACGTAAACAAACAAATTTCTTTTCTAGAAGAATCTTTCAAACTTTTCGGCACTAATTCGTTTTTTACACGAACCAAAGGGATGACGACTAAAATGACTAAAATCTATGACTAAAATTTTTTTTTAATTTTTAAAAAGTTCATGATTAGAACCGGAAAATCCCATTTTCCCCAAAATGTTAGTATAAAGGATAGGAGCAACTTTTGTCCGGACCTGGCCCTCTAAACAAAACCTTAGACAAAATAATAATGTAAAAACATTATCTTATCTTCAAGGTTATAAAAATAGAGAATACTGTTGTCTGATCCGGAACCCAGATCAAAGAAAAAGGTTGGATATCCAGAAATTTCGGATCGGGATAATCGAGGATTTCCAACTATCCGGCAACTCTAGTAAAGAAGGCATTATAATCCCTCGATAAGACAGCCGAAAATAATTTCTTGTCAAATTAAAAAGTTATTTACGTGATCATATAAAATATAAAAAATATATTAAATAATTTCAGCATCACTAGAAGAGGAAGAAGGACGGGATGATGAAGATATAGAACTATTATTACAATCTTGTTGCGAATATAAATTTTGAGAAAATAAAATATTAGAAAAACGAATTGGGGAAGAAAAATTTTGAAAAGAAAAAAATTGTTGAGAAAAGGAAATATTAGAAGTTGAATTGCCAATTTGTGAGGAGGAAATGTTGTCAGTTACTGAAAGGGTTTTAAATTTTAAAAGAAGATTGCTACGAGTTATTTTTTGATAATTTTTTTGAAAAAAATAAAAGGTACTTTCTGGTTATCTCCCACCATTTTTCTTTTTACCGAATTTGATTGGCTAGAATTTTTTATGCTTGATCCAACCCGAATGAAACTCATATCATTCAAAAGCCCTCAATATGCGCTATTTTTTACCCAACTAGATGGATCAAGTATGATGTCTCATAAAAATTTACAAATCGATATTTGTAAAAAACACCGATTTCTTGCACTTATCGACTTGTAACTTTTTATGAGTGATCAGACTTGATCCATCCAGTTGGGTAAAAGATATTTAATTTAAATTAAGAACTCTACCAAAAGGTCCAGTAATCGAAAATCCACAAAGAGATTCAATTTTCATCCATCTTTGCACCAATTCTTCAATTCCATGTTTAATTTTCTCCATTCTAGCTTTTAAACTAAAAATTTTCGTATCAATATCATCTGTTCCAGATGTAGCTCCAGTTGCCAATTTTAATGAATTTACTATACTACTTTGCTTTTTTCTCATTTTATCAACTAATTCCATTGCTTCACGCATTTCTAACAAACAATCTGTCCGTTGTTTGTCTAAAATATTGAAAATGATCTATATGTAAGTATATTAGTATTCCCTCAACATAACTTCATTCCTCTGCCTCCTTCCTATTAATCTTCATACTTTTTTGTTCACCCCCAGGTCCGGAGATTTTGGTCTTTTGGTTCGGTTCTGGATAACTGAAGACTTCCAATAACCGACAGCCCTACTCATTTACCTTCTCATTTCATTCCATTTGCAAGAAAACAGAGTAGCACAGGACCGTTAACCCCCGATTAATTTTTCCCTGTGGCGGGTCTTTTTTCTCTTTTCCCTTCTCTCTTCTCTTTTGTTGTGTAGTGGTATCGCTATAGTATAAAAGCCAGTGAAAGCGTCAGTCTAGCTGGATCATACTAGCGCGGCTAGTCCCTGATCTCCTTCGTCTGTTCCACTCTATCCCTTCGCCTACACATTGTTATTTCTACACCGGATAAATTGTTATTGTTGTGCACGTCAACATCAGTCAAATCTCGGACACCTCCGGTCGTAACATCTTTTTGGCCCGCCACAAGGAAATATTAAACCGGGCGGTAATCGGTCTTGTTCTACTCTAAAGAAAACAGAAGAAAAGGGAAGGAGGGAAAATAAGGGATACCAAAATAATTTATTAAAACCGAAATCCTTGAAGGATTCAGTCGGCCAGGTAAAATAAGATGAAAATATATGGGGAAAAGACATAACATAAAAACAATTACTATAAATACCTAAATATGCTGATTCAATTTCATAAGTTCGCCTAAGCAAAGTCTGAAGAAAAAAGAAATGTTCTCCTCCATCCATCCCTCCAATACTTAAATCACCTCCTCCAACACCCAAAAGTTTTTGTTCATTTTCAAAATCGAGAACTGGATTCTTTAAAATAAAAAAAAAATTTTTTTTAATTTAAGTTAAAAAACTACATAATTATATCCTTTTGCTGCATTAACTTCCCCATTGCTATCTTCTGTAGGTTGTTGTTGTTGAACTTTATTCTCTTCTTCAAATCTGAAAATTTAATTTAGCTTAAGATGTGGAGATTTTGAGAAAAAATTTAACAAAAAATGAATTCCTCATAACAGGCCCGTAGCCAGGGGGGGTGAGGGGGGGGGGAATTCCCCCCCCCCCCGAAATGGGAAAAAGGAAAAAATTTGGGGAAGGGCTGGGGCAAAAAAAGTGAATTTTTTCGGCCTACGGCCTCTGAAATTTAAAAAATTTTCGCCTGCGGCGCTAAAAAAGGAAGAAATCTGGCTTCTTGAGGTCCAAAATTCTCAAAATTTTCGCATGCGGCGCTGAAAATCAAATTTTCGCATGCGGCGCTGAAAATCAAATTTTTGGCGCCTTCGGCGCCAAAAATTTGGCGCAGAAAAAATTTTCCCCCTTGGCCCCCCCCCCCGAAAAAAAATCCTGGCTACGGGCCTGCCTCATAAAATTCCCCCGCTATTTTTTTCAAAATTAAACTAAAAAATTTTTTTGAAATGGTTAGGATAAGTCCATTATTTCAAAACTCATTTTAAAGTATGTTCTTAATTTATTTGACATTATTTAATAAGCAAAAAAGAATAATTGGACCGATTTCCCTTGAGTACCATATCCCAAGTAAGTTAAATATAAAGTCAAAAATATGCAGACATGGTTTCCAAGTTCCCGTACAAAATGTACATGTAATCGGTTGGACCCAAAAACGTAGCCGCCAGAGGGTCAATTTCAGGAGGGGGGGGGGTAAAATGGGGTGTGATCAAAATTTCGGCGTTTACTTTTGCATTCCTAACGCAAATTTTTTAAACATAGGTTGGACCCTTTGGTTGGACCCAAAAAAAGAAGGGGAATCCTAAATCTTTTTAGTCTTAATTCAATAAACAAAAACTCTCTTAAAGTCTTCCCAATGAGAAAAAAACAAAAAAAATTTCAAAAATAAAAAAAACTTTTGTTGTTGATGTACTCCCTCAAAATCAGTCTCCATATCCCTCAATTTACTCAATCTGGTCGATAATTCTTCCATTTGTTTTTTTGCTCTATTTTTGTATGCTTTGAATATAATCAATAAACTAATTAAACAAATAAGTAGACTAGCCAAAGCAATATCTTTAATTAAAGAGGAAGAATCTTGAGATCCAAATAAAACTAAATCCAAAGCTTTTAATTGGAGTTTTTGACGATGAACAGAATTTTTGATATCCAGAGAATTAAATATTGATGAATTTTGAGCTGCCAATCTGGAAAAATAAAAAAATTTTTGAAGAAAATAAAAACAGTTGAAACCCTTTCTATCTTATGTAAACCTACCATTGATTTGTTGACAACCCCCTCCCCTCCCCACATTATCCAACCAAATTAAACATACTACTCTTTTCTAAATTGGTTGGATAATAAGGAGTTGAAAAATATAGAAAGGTCAACTTAAAGCCTAACAATATGTAAAAGTCAAAAAGGAAAAAGAAATTGGAAAAAAAGTCTTTCAGAAATTGAAAGAATTTAGAGGAAAAACAGGTAAGGGCCTATTTTTGAAGCCTGTTTTTTAAAAAGACCTGTAAAAATCCAAAAAATGTAAGGGCTAATCAAAATATTTTTTACTTCAATTACATTAAAGAAACCAAAGATATGCTCAAAAAATTGTTTAAAAAATTTTAAAACCTTGGAAAATCAATTCCAGTAATTCCTTCCCTCATAAAATTATTGACATATTGAGGCAATTTCACACCATTTACCAGCCAATCGATTACTTAAATTTTGGTTAAAAATTAATATTTAATAAAGAAAAACCTTGTTTTTCGTCCCATTCTCTAACATCTGATTGAAACCAAGCATCCCAAAGGTCATCAACGGTTATTGACTCATCATTCCCATGAAAAGCTTTTTCTCTTTTTTCGCGTTCAGATTCGCCAAATTTTAAATCTTCTGTTAAAAACTGAAAAAAAAAATTAAAAAAAAAAGGATAAAATATTTTTAAGTGAAATTCAATAAAAATAAAACGAATTTAGGAAAAATTATGGAAAAATAGTAAGGGAAATTTCCCCTGTTTTAAATTTCCATTGTTTTTAATGCAGTTACAAATGTGTTATTGAGCTATTGTGGACCGGCCTGGGCTGGACCAAGGCCTGGGTTTTTCCTTTACCCAGAGTCAAGCCCCAGGCATTTTTTTGACCTTCCTGGGTTTTTCCTGGGCCTGGATTTTTCCTAGACTACAGGCACAGGATCCGGCCCAGGTCAATAAAACAAATATGGGACCCAGGAACAGGCCCAGGCTTTTCAAAAATTCCGATCTCTATTGCGGATTCAATTTTTCGAAGAGGTGCCGTCTCTATTACTGTCCCATATCAAAAAATTCTATTTCTAATGAAAGTTGTCTTGTCTTATTGCTAGTTTTAGCTTTGACGAACCGAATAGTTTTTTGACGGAAATGAGGCTGGGGATAGTCCGCAAAAATTCCAAACCAAATTTACAATTTCCTACCAAATATTCTCCCAAAAACTTAAAACTCCCCCGAATATAAACCTACATCTGCCGATTCATAACGTTCAATAGACCCAGACTGGTCATTATCCAAAACACCATGAATTGCCTTTATTGCCAAATACCCTTCTTGATCTCTTAATTTTTCGTCTTCTGAAGTTATTTTGATGTCTAAAATTGAAAAAATAAGAGAAGTAAAAATATAATTTAAAAATATGTAAACTTTTTGTCATTTTATCCAATTTAGCAGAAATAAAAAATAATTGAAGAATTGTTACAAGTGAAAGAAACATTCTGAAAATTAGCTAATAAAAATTTAAAAAAATATTTATGGACAAAATATGTATTTAATCGCAATTTTGAATTCGTTAACAGTTGTGGAACAGAAGTGGCACAAGAGCTGGACTCGATCCGGTGACCAAAATCTTGGCCGGAATTGCTCCAAAGATCGCGTAAATCCGAATTCCAAACTCACAATCAGGAAAAATCTTGCCGGATCCTGTCGGATCAGGGATGAGCGCAAGAGACAATCTAAAAAACGCAAAAAGCAAAACGCAACGCAAAGCCAAAATTTAACGCAAAATGCTCACCCTTGATACAAATTGATAAAAAAATAAGGGTGTACCCTTTTGTCTTTTGGACATTTTTACATTTCTGTATTTCGTTATTCGGATGTAGCAATTTTTTCTTTTACTTACCTTCGTTATTTAAATTTATTAACACATCAAAAGGAACAAAAATTACTTTTAACTTTTGTTGTGTCTTTTAATTGTTAACGAGTATTGATTGATTCTTTTTTTAATTTGTAGGTGTCTTGACTGGCAGGACGGATGATGAAAAGTGAATGGATGTCGAAACAAGATGTTAAAAAACGGTTGGATAGTAAGTTTGTATTGTTTCTTTTTTGAACTTTTTTGAGTGTGTGTTTTGATCAGATCAGCAGGTGTTTTTGGGTTTTTTGGGGTTTTTTCCTCTCGGTTTATTTTTTCGATCTAAAATCCTTTTCATTCTTAAAAAACAGCTCTGATCAAAACAAAAATTTTAATGTTGGGAGGCTTTTGGCAATGGGAGCCGGTGAAATTGTCCTTTGGTCCGAATAAATTGTCTAATATCGTCTTGACATGTGTGTTTTGTCTAGAAAATCACTGAAAGATCACCTATTCCAAATCAATCAATCTCGCCTCTATCCTTCCAATAGACCTAAAATTTTTTATTTTTCAATAATACTCCCATAGAGGAGGATATCACGCACTAGCAAAGAAGGACCTAATCGATCTATTAAAAATTGAATATTGCTTTAAGCAATATAAGGGGAAAAGTAGATTGACAAGTTTTTAAATTTTTATCGGTAAAGTGTGTTTGGTTTTTCTGGGTAATTTGTTCTTTCCTTCGTCTAATTCTAAAATTAAGGCAAATTTCTAACCCTTTAATTCTAAGGTATCTTCGGCGAGTATTCTGCATTCGTGGTTAGGCCAGATGATCAACAACAATTTGTTCAACAGTCAAAATTGTTGGAAAATAACTATAAATCTAATAAAATTTGTAAAACTGAAATTATACGTGATGAAAGACAATCTAATGTCGATAACCAAACTCAATCTAGGTTTGATTTTTTTTAAAAACTTTCGGGTCCTGTCCGGTTTGTGTATTCCACAATGTTGTATAATTGATTTTATTTGCTTTGTGAAAGCTGAGTTCATATTTCTTAACGTTTCTCGTCCTCGAAATTTATTGCGTGATTTAGGACTAGCAATTGTCTTACCCTATTAATTTGGCTCGCTATTATCGTTAAAAAATTCTTTAACCCACGGTTAGGTCTCCGCATGTTCCGACACATAAAACGTTAAGATTAGGGTTGCCGGTCCGATCCGAAAGATCAAGTCAGGCATCAAATTTTGGCCCGAAAAAGACTCGGTCGGGTTGGCTCGAAAAAATTGACTCCAATGTCGGCCCGACTCGAAAACGGCAACCCTTTTAAGGCCTAAACCTAACTTTTAAAATCAAATTCACTATGTATAACTTAAGGGTCCACATAAACTCGCAAAAAAACTTTCTCATTAATTCTCTCTTCTTTTCTAGTTCAAATATTAATTCAATGATTGGACAACTTGTCAATATATCTAAACCTCTTTCACCTGTTACCTTTGCACAAAATGAGTCTAATCAACTTGCCAATGGATTTGAAGCAACAAAAGAGGATGAATTTTCTAATAAAAGTGAAAAGTAAAATTTTTTTAATTTGGGTATTTAATTGGGGATTTAAATATATGTTGAAGGTTTAACCTGGGTATTTTATTTTTTTGGGTACTTTTCTGCTAACTTTTAACATTCTGAACTTTCTTTTAAATATTTTAATGGTCAAGGTGGCATTGTGAAAAGGGTTATTAAAGGGGCCGAAATATTTTATTGAAAATATGGGCCGAAATATTGAACTAACTTTGTCAATAAAGAATTTTTTTTAATTTTTCTTCATTAAAAATCACTAAAATTGTTTCTTTGGATATCAAAGTAAAAAAAGAGTTTTGACGAGAAAACCTGGGAATTGCTAGGAACCTTTTTAGTTCTTTGACTTTTTTTGATCTTCCAAACTTTTTTTATTCAGAGTTGGGCCAGATTTGGATACAATATTGGAACAAATTTCTCGTGTTTCTCCTCTTCTATCGCCAATTGTCAATATTTCTACTTGTTTAAATGAAAATAATTCTGATTCTTTGGATAATTTAAAACAAGAAATTAATGCTGCTATTACCTCTAAAAACGACCAAAATGGATCAAAAAATAATTTGAAGAGACCGAATACGGACGGTTTGATTTTTAATTTTAGAGATTTAATTTTATATTTATTTTTGTTTTTTTTTTATTTAAAAGAAAATTTTTGTCTTTGAAAATTATATCCGATTAATTTTAAAAAATGGAATTAACCTAATAAAATTCTGAGAAATTAATAAGGTTTGCTGATTGTAAAATTATTTTAGGGGATTTCTACTAATTTTACATTTGGGTTTGGACATTAGGGATGTCTCGGATTCAAGAAGAAAATGAGTAGTTTTATTTTCAAAATTTTCTTCCGAGATTTCTGGTACTTTGAGGCATCCCTGGTTTTGACGAAATAGCTGCATTCGTATTTTCTGACTTTGAGCAATTTTTAAATCGGGCTATCCCTTTCTAATAGCCAATTATTTATTAAAAACAAAAATATTCAAAAAAAGTTTTTTTTACTCGACTTTGATCCAAAACTTTTTTTAATTTTTAGAAGACAATTCTCATCTATACATCTCTCCAAAACGTCATAAGGAGTTGCATGTAGAACAACACCAACAACAATATTTTACTCAAAAAGTCATTAAAAAAGAGAATAATTCTTCAATTTATTCAATTAAACTTCGAAGCATTTCTTTAAATAAATTGCTTAATAAATTTTATCCTCAAAAAGAATTGCAAGAAGAAAATGAATTACAACAAGAAATTCAATCTGAAAGAAGTTTGGATTGTTCTACTGCTAATGCTTCAACGCCAACTACACAAATTGATGTTGAACAAGCACAAAATGAAGTGGGGAATGGTCGGCAGTCTGATAATATGGTTTTAATTTTTTAAATAAAATTTTTTGAAAATTTAAAAATTTAGATTAGTTTTGTCAAAAATTTTTGTTATAGGGATTTTAATTTTTTAAAATATTAATTTTACTTTACGTTAAAGTCTAGCCTCTATGATAGTCTAGCCTACCTGATAATTTGGTTTATAACCTAATTTTTAACCTAATTTAGTGATTACCTTAATTCCAAACTTAATCAATTTAATTTAAACAAAAACTCCGTTGATCCGAAAACATTTATCTATAAAACATAACAAATTTGAGCAGAGGGGGGAACAGGGAAGAGGGGAGGCAAGAGGAGGGAGGGAAACCTGGTTGGGAAAAAACCCCTTTTTCCAAAAACAAAACTTAGAATGAAAAAATGAAAACGAGAGTTGTCAAGATTGGCACGAGGCCCCGCCTCGTGCCCTTAAAACAAATAATTTATTTTTAATATAATATTTATTTTTTTTATCACTACACTAATTTTAAGACCGGTCACTCAGTTTTGGTTTTATTTTTTTGCTTTTGTTTATTAACAAAGTTTAAGCCAACCCTAGTTAAAAGGGGGTATCCACAAACTTTTTTCTGTTTTTAAAATTTTGTTAAGACTCGCGGCAATTATTTAGTGTTAGTACTGTTAAATTTTCTTGATTTTTCTTGGAAAATTTATTTTCGGAAAAACGTACTTTTTATATGCCGACCTAGTAAACGAAAAATATTAATTTCTGGCTACTCTTAGTTATGCTATTAAAAATCGTTATAAAAATTTTTTAATTATTAGAGAGGATCTGCAAAATGTCCATAAACTATTCAAATTTATTTTAAATTTCTTTTTAAATTTAAACATTTTCAGTCTGATCAACCAACAAATATTTCTGATTGTGACTTCAAGATAGGATTTCCAACACCCGACGGAAAATCACCACCTTTTGATTTCTTTCAAAAAAATGCTCGTGATATTCGAAAAAGAAGCGATCAGGAGGTTTGCAAAGCATTTTTCTAGTTTCTTAATTTTTTTAAATTTTTTGTTGTTCCTTCTCGTATAGTTAAACCTGTTATACTATGTAACATATCCCTCTATTTTTTAATATATTCTGAATTTGCCACAAATTTATTAGTACAATTTTTATTTCAACTATAGTACAATTAAAAAAATTTTTTTTTGAAGGGAGATCGAATTTTGAAACTTCTATTTTCCTTTGAATCACTTGCTTATTATATAATGGCATCCTCAACTTTAACTTCAAAAACAGAAAAAATGCATTCTTCAATAGCAGAAAATACTAATTATCTCAAGTATAAATTTTAATTGTAAAGATTTTTTAAAATTTTTTTTCTTTGATATTCTAGTTCTTTTTGGAATTCCTTCAAAAAACAAAAGATCACAGAATCAAAATTCCTTACTTCAATACGTACACGTTTAAAATATTTACAAATGATGATTTCTGCTTGTTTGGCTTATAATTTGTATTCATTACGTTCTGGGGTGAATTTTTGATTTTTTTATATAAAAAATATCTATTTGGGAGAATATGGGAGGAGGGACCTTTTTTCCATTTTTCTCCCATTTTCGAACTACCTTCAGAAAAATTAGGATAGTTGTAGGCCTATTTAACAACCGAGTTCCTATGGGAGTCAGACATATTGGGACGGACATATCGGTTTAGTTCAATAAGCTTCTCTATTGGTTTCACGACCTGCGGCCATTGGGTCTTGG